AGCATGGACCCAAGTACTTAAGCCATCACTTACTGCTTCCAAGGTGCACATTAGCAGCAAGCTGGAATCAGAAGCAGAGCAGGAAATTGAATCCAGGTACTCCTATAAAGGATGCAGACATATCTAGTGGTTTCTCACCAGTTATGGCAAATGCCTACCCCAAACCTGCATTTGATGTCCAATTCTTCCACACTTCTCTGAGCCTTAAATCTCTGGCTTTTAAAATAATGAGCACTCCTTCCCCATAAAACTGTAGACAGCATGAAGTAAGGCAGTGAAGGAGAAAGCACGCACATGATGTATGCTATATTCAAGGAGTTTAATAAACCTTTTTAACTCTAAATCTGATATAAGCACTAAATTGTTCCTAGTCTCCTGACAAGACAGCATTGTTTACCTTTCTCCCTTCTCCTTAGCAAAGTTTTCTTGCTGTGTGAATGTCCTTTAATATACTAATTTTCAGTTAGATCTCTTTTTGCAGACTCTAACTAGCTTAAGCAGAAAAGGAATTTGTTAAGATACTAAGTCTCTCACAGAACCTAAAAAGGCCAAAGAAAAACAAAAAATAGTTTTGGAAGTCACTGCTAATGGCTCCAGAGAGACCCTATGATCAGTGCCACCGGACCACAGCACCTGCAGTGTGCCGTGGGATGCCACAGCGGGGCTCCTATCACTGCTGCTTCCTTCAAGCTTGTCCAGAGTACAGTCCATGTGGGTTGCATGATGCATTTGATGGGCAGAGTCTAATTTGGAAAATAGGCGTCTTAAGGGGAGGAAATCCAAAAACATAAGAAATCTATGAAACAAAGCATATCCGCTCCACCCCTGTCCTTTGTTTCTTGTGATCTCCATCAACTTTATGAAACTCTATTTACTCAAAAGTTTCTAGAAACAAAGAAACTGAAGCTCATCTCATCAAATATTAGAGTTAATAAGAAACCACAAACCACTTTATCCATCAGCTGTCTCCATCTCTATTTCTGACTCTCTCTGGGTATATGAATTGTGTGTCTATTACATACAAGCTCAGTACTGTTATGCTTACCCCATATGCATTGACTGATTAACCACTTACTGAATTTCAGAACATTTGCAATGAACACAAAATATAAACACAAATGTGATATGATCTCTGCCTCTTATACTTGGCCCTCACGTCCTATTAGTAAATGTCTTATAAACTGCTCATTATTGACAACATCAGAAGAGCTTTAACAGGGAGGGCACTGTAAAAATAAGTGATGTTGGGATGTAAGCTTTAACATCTTTAACAGGAAACCAAGGTTAAAGTAAGTTTTGTGCAATAATACCTATACATGAATACATTGGTAAGTTTATTTGTTTTGGTTTTAGTTTTTCTGGTTTTTTAAAGATTTATTTATTTGAAAGTCAGAGTTACAGAGAAGAAGTGGTAGAGGCAGAGAGAAAGAGGGAGAGAATGATCTTCCATCCACTGGTTCATTCCACAAAAGGCCCCAGTGGCCTGGGTTTGGTCAGATGGAAGCCAGGAGCCAGAAGCTTCTTCTGGTCTCCCACATGAAAGCAGGGACCCAAGACTTGGGCCATCCTCCACTGTTTTCCCAGGCACATTAGCAGGGAGCTCAATTGGAAGTGGAGCAGCCAGGACTCAAACTGGAGCCCATATGGAATACTGGTGCTGCAGGCAGTGGCTTTACCCTATGCCCGCTATGCCACAGCGCCAGCCCTGGTAAGTTTATTTGTTAAACAATGACTGGATATGTGTCAATAGACATTTCTGCGTTGCTGAAAAGTTCAGACTTCACTGCATTGTTTCAGTTTTTATTTCTTATTAAGGTTTTTAGACCTTGCATTGCCTTGATCATTATTTCAAGCTCTGTTGTTATTCAGACACTGTAAAATGGAATTTTAGATTATAAAGTGTCCTTGAAAATAGAAACATCTCCCTATGATACTGTTTTTGTTTCTAGTCAACATTATCATTTTGAATTTACACTTCTTATGTATACTCATTTAATAACCAACTTTATATTCAGTAATCACATTTTCCCATAAGCTTTGATTAGACCAATTATAGTAAATGAAAATAAGAAAGTAATTTCTGTAAAGACGTTCATAAAGCATCATTTTCAAGCCATAAAGCAGACATCTAAATAGTCTTGTGCAGCATTAGGCCTACAAAAAAAGTCTTTTTGTTCCATTAAGAGATACACATTCCAAAACTTTTCATGTCTATTCATCATTCCTTATCTTGATCTCCCCAGGTATGATGGTAGAAGGCTTAGCACACAAAGAGTGCTCAATAAATACTGTTGAACGAGTGTCTGGCCCTTTTAACTTAGACCAAGAATGTAGAAGCGTCAGTAAAAAGGTCCCTCTGCAATATAAAGCCTGTAAACTGATCAAAGAAATAGCCTTCCTACAGCTACCCTCCCCAATCTTTCTTTAGCCCTAAACTTTGCCAGTGCTTATTTTTTATTTGCTTTAAAGACAAGAATACACATCAGCACACACCTCACTGAAGTTCCTGTGGAAACTGCTACACCAACTTAGGATATAAACTGATTTGTAATATGTAGCTGAATATTTTCTGCCCACTCATTATTGTACATATAACAAGATGACAGTATTCCCAGTTCATAATGAGTATTGTGTTTTATAAACTGTAATAATAATACGTAATGGGGGGAACCAAGGCTACAAATACTGTGATTAGCAGAGCTTTTATACCATCTTTTATTCATTGTGGTAAAACCAAGATGAATTCTTCTGAAAGCCCAGGAGGTCTGCACAGCTACATCAGGGAGAGAAACAATAAGATTACTGCATGGGTGGATCCTCCTCATTAACTTGCATTCTCCTCGCTATATGAAGAGATGAGGAAATCATCTTTCATTCACTTTTTTTTTTCTTTTTGACAGGCAGAGTGGACAGTGAGAGAGAGAGACAGAGAGAAAGGTCTTCCTTTACCGTTGGTTCACCCTCCAATGGCTGCCGTGGCCGGTGTACCGCACTGATCCGAAGCCAGGAGCCAGATGCTTCTCCTGGTCCCCTATGCGGGTGCAGGGCCTAAGGACTTGGGCCATCCTCCACTGCACTCCCGGGCCACAGCAGGGAGCTGGACTGGAAGAGGGGCAACCGGGACAAAATCCGGCGCCCCGACCAGGACTAGAACCCGGTGTGCCGGAGCCGCAGGCAGAGGATTAGCCTAGTGAGCCACGGCGCCGGCCTTTCATTCACTCTTATATAGCCATTCTTTCATTCCCAAATCCCTTCAATCTCTCTCTCTCTCTCTCTCTCTCTCTCTCTCTCTCTCTCTTTCGTTCTCTCTCTCACACACACGCATGCATGCATGCATGCATGAAAAAAGAAAGTGAGTTTTGTCTCAAGTAACAAAGAGCCAACATCACTGTGGCTTTAATGAAATAGATGTTTCTCAGGTTTTGGAAAGCTGAACATAGGCGAGTAAAATTTCTGCTCCACAAAGCAGAATTTCCACCTCTGACGCCACCTTGTGGGCAGAATCTCCTAGTCAGATCATCTGCAGGCCTGCCCACAAGGAGAAAGGCAGAAAGGAAGAAAGGGAGGGAGGGGCACACAGCAACTCATCTTCAAGGAAATTTAATAGAGCTTCCACACAATGCCTCTACTCACATCTGTTTGGCCTGAACCAACTAATAATATGGCATAATAGTGGCTCAAAAAATGTCATTTTTATTCTTTGTACTGTGTTTCCAGCAGACCCATTGTGGCTTTACTATGGAGAACAGAGGCCAGGAAAATCACTGGTGACAACTAACAAGCCGCCATGAGGTTCCTCCTGATCTCAACAAGGATGTACTGTGTGGGATTTCACTGAAGAGGGTCCAGGGCAGATTCCTTTCCTTCCCCATCCAGCCTATAGTGCCTTCTCTCTACCCTTATACCCTGTCCCTCTCCCCACTACACACACACACACACACACACACACACGCTCACACACACAGGAACCTTACTCTTTAGTTCCCCAACACACTTTTCCTCCTCAAAGGAAAAACAGAGGCGAACCATTAGTGAAGCACAGACAACAGACAAGATTCTCACTATTTAAAAACTCCAGAGTACTAAGAATGTTAATAGGAGGATCAAATTCTAGTCCTCTGCATGTGTGTTTGCTGTCTAAGTTGAAACTGTGCAGTTGGTTTTCACTGAATATAAAATCTTCTCTTTGATCCTCAGCTGCAGAACGATACTTTCATTTGCTAAACAGATCTTCAACTTCTTGCCAAAAGAAGCCAAAGTTTACTGATAGCTGCAATGTTATCGCATTCAAACAAAGGGATGGGCCATCTAATATTCTTTAGGAAGATACTGATCTCTGAAGACAGTGCAATTATAATTTAAATACAAATTTAGACTAGGTAGTTGTTTTTCCACTCCACAGATCACTAGAGTGAGGTATCAAAGAAATGTTGACTTTTGAAGAATGGAGCAAAGCAACAGAGCCCACCCACACACCCCATTCTACCTGTCTTTTATGTATTGGACTTCAACAGCAGGCACTGTGTAAAGAAAGGCTCTGACAACCTTTAGAATCTGACCTCATTGTTCCCAGCCCTAATTCTATATCCTATGGAATGGTTTCTTGGGGATAGTTTAGTCTTGAAGTTCTGCGTCTAGTGGACATGGTGAAAAGAGAAGAGACACGTGAGAATTCGGTTGACTTGTCATCATGACTTATTCTTGCAAAATTTACTAATCCTACTTAGAAAAATCACAATGATACTTGCAAACCAGGTCTTTAATATGTTTTGATTAGTTATATTAGCATATTTATCTCCTAAGCAGCCACAATCTATGTGTATAATTGAAATTATTTCTTCTTTTTCCTTTCTTTTTTGTGTCATTTAGGTTTTGCTTTCTAATGCTCCATTTTTTTAATGTGTGATTATATTTATTCCCTGAAAAAAAAAAGCTAAACTGAATATTCCTATGTAGGTTAACATACACAAAGGAAATAATGACTGACTGACAAGAACTGGTAAGATTGCATATCACAGCTTCACCACAACTTTATTGTTTGTTTCAGTAATCAGAATTCTTTCAGCAGGCCCACTTTATCTGTCATATGTTACATGGAGACAAAAAAGAACAATAGCTTTTATGGTCTTGCTGTTATTAATTACAAGAGTTCAATCTTCATCTTTCTGGTAGATATGTTAATAAATAACCACATCCCTAAAGAAATAGCTAACAGTTCTATTCTAAATAAAATACTCCAAGAATTTATTTCTCTCAGCATCTGTTTCTTCATTTTCCAACTCATATTTCTTCATGGCCACAAAATATCGAATAAAAGTTTCTCCCAGAGCCTCTCTCAGACATTCATCTTCCTCCAGTGCCACAAGGGCATCTTCCAGTTTCAGAGGAATCTCAGATGGTTCTGACTGGAAAAGGTCTGTGCTGTCATCTGGACCAGCCAAGTCATCAAGGTTGCTTTGAAGTCCATCTAAGCCAGCAGCAACAGTGGCAGCCAGTACCAGGTATGGGTTTGCTGTTGCAGAACCTAGTTTATTTTCTATCCGGGCACCTTTGTCACCGTGGCACTTGATATTAAAAGCACAGCTGTTATCATTGTATCCCCATGTCGTAGGCACGCTCTCCTTCAGGTCCTTGGTCTCTTTGGAATAACGCTTTCGGCAGCTAACAGCAGGTGCCATCAGGCAGCTGAGAGCAGCAGAGTGCTTCAGGAGTCCTGCCAACCATTTTTTCCCAATGATTGTGAGCTGTTCAACCCCAGAACTGTTGCAGAACATGTTTTTCTTCCCATCAACATCCCAGAGACTATGAGACAGTATTCCTGAATTGCAGAATCCAGTCTCAATGAAGAAGCTGGCAATGTAATTATATTTCCTTGCCACTTCTTTGACGCCCGTTCTGAGAGTAAATGCATTATCGGCTGAACTTATACCAAATTCAGGGAGAAAGCAAATTTCCATCTGACCTGGCCTGGTAGAGGAGGAAAAGCTCTCAACACTGGCTCCAGTGTGATATAAGCCATCAACAAGTTCCTGCATGAATGGCTGGTCATGATTATTTACTAATGTTGAAGCAGCAAAAGATATGGTCTTTGAGTTGATAATTTCAGGCACTCCGAAAATGCAAAAATCGTAGATGAAGGCAGAGAGGAGGGAAAAGCCACAGTCCTGCAGCTGATTCAGTTGCCTCTTTGCAATGTACCTTGGGGATGTCAACAGAGGCTCACCAGTCACAGTGAAAGTGTCACATATCACTCTTGCAGTTCTCTCAGCCCATGGCAAAACTCTAAAGGTTGATAACTCTGGCATCAGGACTATGTCATTGTTAAAACACGTGGCTCTTATGTGATTCACTTCATTGTCCTTAGGATTCGGTATCAATTCAAGATAACCTCTGGGCATGAAAACACCATGGATCACTTTTTCCTGAAGAAGGAGGATACAGGAAGTTGAAAACAAATCAGAGTTGAAAAAGAGCCTTGTTGATGAGAAAAAAAAAATTATGTTTGACATTTGATAACACTAACTTAATATTAGCTAAATGCTAAATACCTGAAAGTAAAACCCAAAAAAGTACTCTTATAAATAATTCTTAGTATTTTAGGCCTTGAAGACTCTATCTGCTCTTTTTAAGAAATTCCACTATTGTTATAGATTTAACTATTTAAATGTTGCCATATTCACTTCATATATAACAATTATTTAAACACACATACATACTCTTTTGAAAACAGGAATATTAATAGCAATTAATGTGGGATCCATAAAGATCAAAAGATAAGGAAAGAAGGCATATTATGTTGGTTCCATGATTCAGTGATAACAATATTTAAAACTGCCAGTATAGCAAATAATAGAACATCCATACTTTTTATTCTCTCTCTACACACACACACACACACACACACGTACATATACATATGCATATATCTATATACATTAACTTCTGCATATGACAGAAAACATATGATATTTGTCTTGGCATGTCTGGCTTATTTCACTTAGCATAAATTATCTCCAATTCTACCCATATTATTGCAAATGACAGGATTTCATTTTTTATGCTGAATAATATAATATTCCATCATCTATATATACAGCATTTTCTTTATTCAGTCATCAATTAGTAGACATGTAGGTTGATCCCCTATCTTTGCAACTGTGAATTGGGCTGCAATAAACATGGAAGTGCAGATATGTCTTTAATATGGCTATCTTCATTTCCTTTGACTATATTCTCAGAAGTGGCATAGATGGGTCATGTAGTAGATATATTTTACAGCTTTTTGAAGAATCTCCATACTATTTTCCATATGGCTATAGTAATTTCCATTCATACCAACAATGTTTCTGGGTTTCCTTTTCTCCACATCCTTACCAGCATTTGTTATTTTATGATTTTTAAATAAAAGTCAGTCTAACTGAAGCAAGATTATATATCATTGTGGTTTTTATTTGCATTTCCTTGATGACTAATGATTCTGAGCCTTTTCTCAGGTGCCTGTTGGTCATTTGCATTTCCTCTTTTGAAAACTGCCTGTTCCTATCCTTTTCTCATTTCTTAACTGAAGTATTAGTTTTCTTGTTGTCGAACTTCTTGAGTTCTTTACATATTCTGAATATTAATCTTTTATCCAGTGCATAGTTTGGAAATTTTTTCTCCCATTCTGTTGTCTCTTCACTTTGTTAATGTTTTCTTTGCTATGTAGAAGCTTCTAAGTTTGTTATAATCCCATTTGTTTATTTTTGCTTTTATTGATTGTGCTTTTGAGGTTATGATCTTAGATATGAAAATAGTGATCATAAATTAAAAAGTATAATGATAGGGAAAATATCATAGCAAAAGGAAAAAGCATGGTCTTATGGAAATTTTGAAATCATTGACATCAAAAGGAACTTATAAACTAATTTTATTTTACTTGTTAACATTTCAAATAAGGTGTTATTTTGGCTTATTCACCATAATACCCAGAATTAACCAACACTTAAGAGTATACAGTAAGGAGTTCTCAGTTCAGGCAGGTCTTTGGTGTAATGGTTAAGATGCCTACATTGGAGTCCTAGCTCCGTTGCAAGTTTCAGCTGCCTGCTAATGTGCACCCTGGAGGCAGCAAGTGATGGATCTCTGCACCTCCACAGGAGACCTGCATTGAGTTCCTGGCTCTCAGCTTCAGCCTGATCCAGCCCTGGCTACTGTAGACATCTGGGAAGGGAACCAACAGGTGGGAGATCTGTGTCTCGCCCTGCCTTTCAAATAAATTAAAGAATGACAAATAAATAAAAATTGAAGATAACAACCCTCAAACCTTCTCAGAGAGTTCACTGTGATCAGTTTTACAACAGGACAATTTTCCTAACACAGAGGAGCCAGGTCTGCTGATAGCTGTTCTGGCTTTACTCACTTTTACAGCTCATCTGTCCCATAGTCATAATGTTCCAAAAAACTTGTCTGTGAATGTGGACCTATATCTCCAAAGTTATAGTTTCCAATATGTTGTAGCCTTCAAATCAGCACAAACTAGATGTCAGCAAATATGACTTCTAGTCCTAGCTCTTTTATTACTTGTGTGAAATTAGGCAAGTAGCTGTACTATGTGCCTCAGTTTCCACGTCTGTAAAACAAAAACATTAAACTAGATTATTGCTAAAGCCCTGGTTAGACATATGTCTCTAGAGTTTAGTGTATTTGATCATTGATTTAACTTTTGTTGTGGGGCAGGGAAGTGGTAAGGTTTTAAGTTGAACAGACACATAAACAAATTCTGAAAAACTGTAAACTAGAAATATCAGCAAGGCTTCATGTGCTATTGGTACAGTATGATTCCCCTTAAGCCAGTGAGTATCGTGAGGTCAACAAACATCCTAACATTCTGCAACACAGACGGTTCCCTGGGGTTCCCTCCATAACCAAAACAGTGTGGATAACAAGGAGGTACTGGTCCTAGCACAAGTAGTCTACTGCTCCGCTCTTCTGTTGATAACTTTGAATCACCATTTCTACATATATTTTTAAATAACATCTGGGAGTCAGCACTATCGTGTTGTGGGTAAAGCCCCCATCTGCGATGCCAGCATCCCAGATGGGTGCTGGTTCAAGTCCCAGCTGCTCCACTTTTTCCAGCTCCCTGTTAAGGCCCTGAGGATGATCCAAGTACTTGAGACCCCACCACCCAGGCGGGAGACCAGCATGAAGCTCCTGGCTCCTGTTGTCAGCCTGGACCAGCCCTAGCCATTGCAGCCATGTGGGGAGTGACCAGCAGATAAAAGACATCTCTCTCTCTCTTTCTCTCTCTCTCTTTTTCTCTCCCCTCCATATATAACTCTTTCAAATTAATAAATTTAAAAAAAAAAACACCATTTGACTTCAATGATCCAAATATATTTTTACCAGTACACACACACACACACACACACACACAGTGGTAATCCTTTAATTCAAAATTTCACTGTAAGAAATATAGATAATGAGGCATGCATTAGCATAGAGTTTAAGACCCCAGTTGGGGGGCCAGCACTGTGGTCTAGCAGGTTAAAGCCACCTGAAGTGCTGGCAAACTACATGGGTGCCAATTCAAGTCCCGGATGATCCATTTCTGATCCATCTGCCTATTAATGTGCCTGGGAAAGCACTGCAGGATGGACCAAGTTCTTGGGCCCCTGCACCTACGTGGGAGACCAGGAATAAGCTCCTGACTCCTGGCTTCAACCTGGCCAGCTAGTTGTTACAGCCATTTGGGGAATGAATCAGAGGATAGAAGATCTCTCTCTCTCTCTTCTCTCTCTCTCTCTCTCACATCAAAGAAGGGGGTACCTTTCTCTGAAGGGAGGAGAGAACTTCCACTTTGACTATGACCCTGTCGGAATAAGGTCGAAGTTGGTGAACTCAAAAGGCTTCCATAGCCTTGGAAACTCATGACTAGAGCCTAGGGAGATTACTGACTCCATAAACAAGAGTGTCAAATTGTTAAGTCAACAACAGGAGTCACTGTGTACTTACTCCTCATGTGGGATCTGTCCTTAATGTGTTTTCCAATGTGAAGTAATGCTATAACTAGTACTGAAACAGTATTTTTCACTTTGTGTTTCTGTGTGGGTACAAACTGATGAAATCTTTACTTAATATATACTAAATCGATCTTCTGTATATAAAGATAATTGAAAATGAATCTTGATGTGAATGGAATGGGAGAGGGAGCAGGAGATGGGAGGGGTGCAGGTGGGAGGGAAGTTATGGGGGGGAGCCATTGTAATCCATAAACTGTACTTTGGAATTTATATTTACTAAATAAAAATTAAATAATAATAACAATAATAATAATTTTAAAAGACCCCAGTTGGGATGCCCACATCCCATATTAGACTGCTTAAGATCTAGTCTTGGCTCTGTTCCCAGTTCCAGCCTCCTGCTAATGCACACACTGGAAGACAGCACATAATGGCTCCCTGTCACCCATATGGGAGATCTGTATTGAATTCTCAGTTCCTGACTTTGGCATAACCCAATCCTGGCTATTGACAGCATTTAGAGAGTGAACCAGTGAACAGAATCTCTCTCTCTCTCTCTCTCTCTCAAATAAAAAAAAAAAAAAAAGAAATAACAGGGCCAGCATTGTAGCGCCATGGGTTAAGCTGCCACTTGTGATGCCAGCATCTCATGTCAGAGCACCATTTCCAGTCCAGCCACTCCATTTCCAAGCCAGTTCATTGCTAATGTACCTGGGAAGGTAGTGGAAGATGGCCCAAATACTGGGCCCCCGACATCCATGTGAGAGATCCAGATGGAACTCTGGCCTCTGACTTCAGCCAGGAGAAGCCCCGCCCATTGCAGTCATTTAGGAAGTGAACCAGATGTCTTTCCTTCCTTTTCTGTCCCTCCATCTCTCTGTCACTCTGCCTTTCAAATAAATAAAACTTTTTTCAAAAAAGAAATAATGTTACTTCTATTTGTATGGTTTTTTTTTAGCTTGGAAATCTGTATGTTAGGTCTGTATGTATCTGAAACGAGGGATAATGTGTTTTATTCATGATACTTTTAAGAGTTCCCACAATTTTAATGTGTTTGTGTTCTCTTGGCTGTGAATAGTGGAGAACAGCTGGTCATCATTTCACTCCAACATTCCTTCACAAACTTAAAGAACAGTTAAAAAAATCACACTTCAATCTTCACAACATTTAATCCTCATTTTTCTGAGCCTTCTTTCCTAACACTGTCATTTTCCTTACTCTATTTTGAACATGCTAACTTCAAACTACCCACCACTAGTGTTGAGAAATATGTGTGAACATATTCAGGACAATAACTTATCATAAATTATTTTTATAGATATAAAGCATTAGGACAACTTCATATTCCAATATAGATCAGTACGAACTCAACAAAAAGTCTTCCCAAATAACTCAAATCCTATGATGGCTGAACTCTGGAGTATAGTAAAGTTCACCTTTTGAATAACCCAAGAATTAGTTATCAATATACCATGTTTTGATTCTATCAAAAATAGAAAGAATCCTTCTCATCTGCATATAATTTAAGAAAAAAAAATCAACCCTTTGATAGAACAGAAACAATAAGAGTTGATTATAAGGTTTAGGTATGCTAATATATGAAAGCTTTAGTAGAGTACCAGGCACATTGGAAATTCTCTGAGGAGATACCATTTTGTCATATTTTCCCTATTTGGCCTTTTCCAATTATGCACCAGTCTATTCCCTTTTTCTTAGTAGATAACTTTTTTTTCTAAGTCAATATTTTTTCAGTTTAATAAGACAGAAATCTTAGTAAAATAAAAAAGAAAAGGAGACATTACAGTTGACCTAAAGACAGTAAGTGCAGTAAAAAAAAAAAAATGCACTGGGCTGGAAATAAGGCGTTACAGACTAACAGCCCTGCCCTGCTGCTAAGTTCCCATACAATGTTAAGAAAACTTTTTCTTGACTTTTCTGGGCTATGTTTTCCTCATCTTTAAATGAAGAATATGGATTATATTATCTGTGGTATGGTTTCATATCTCATGTAATAATTTTCAAACTGATAGTTTATTTTCCACAAACAGAAAAAGTGTCAAAAAATTATTTATAAGGATCAAAATTACTTTTCACTAAGCCAAGAGCAAACTCGAAGTAAGTACTTCTTCTACTCTGTTTAGTGTTTTTTCCATATGCAATTTGTGTGCATACCTATGTGTACAAACACACATTGTTTTTTGTAAAAAAAAATTTATTTTATTTATTTGAAAGACAGAGTTACAGAGAAAGGCAGAGACAGAGAGAGAAGTCCTCCATCCGCTGGTTCATTCCCCAGATGGCCGCAACAGCCGGAGCTGCGCTGATCCGAAGCCAGGAGCCAGGAGTCAGGAGCTTTCTCTGGGTCTCCCACATGGGTTCAGGGGCCCAAGGACTTGGGCCATCCTCCACTGCTATCCCAGGCCACAGCAGAGAGCTGGATCAGAAGAGGAGCAGCCGGGACTAGAACCGGCGCCCATATGGGATGCCGGCACTCAGGCCAGGACATTAACCCACTGTGCCACAGCGCCGGCCCCAGACACATTGTTTACATTGGTTTGCACAAATGAACTGATTTTTAGTGATTATTTATAACAAATTTTCCAAATAAATTATTGTTATGTGTATTTATGAAGCAAATAATATGAAATATCAAAATTTCCAAATTTCCAATTGAATTTAATGCATTAAGAATAAGGATACTTGATAACCATTAAGTGACAATAAAGTAACAATAACTAGGTAATCAAACAGAAAATTACTAAAAAATTGGAACCAAGAATAAAGACACGTCTTGAGAGGATTATAATGAGTGATATGAAAATTCTCATGGTAAATGACTTTCCATGGGACTGGTGTTGTGCAGTGGATTGAGCTACCACTTGCTTTGCTGGCACCTCTTATAGGCTCCAGTTCAAGTCCTGGCTGCTCCACTTCCAATCCAACTCCCTGCTAGTGCAGCTGGAAAGCAGCAGAAGGTGATTGAAGCACTTGGGTCCTATCACCCACGTGGGAGATTCCAGTGGAGTTCCTGGCTCCTGGCTTCAACCTGGCCCAGTCCCAGCTATTGCAGCCATTTGGGGAGTGAGCCAGTGGAAAGATATTCTCTCTCACTCTCTCTCTCTCTCTCTCTCTCTCTCTCATGTCTCCCCATCTTTCCCACTCTCTATAACCCTGCATTTCAAATAAATTTAAAAATGTTCAAAAGAGAACTTTTTTCCTAGATAAATTCCAGGAAAAAAGTGATTCTTATGTGTGGAATACTGAACAGAAGAATGAAAGGGGAGAAGAAAAGGGGAGAAGTTTGGAGGAGAAAATGAATACAGAATATTCTGTTTATGTAAATTATATAAATCCCTAGCAAATGTAAGCAACACACTACGTTATATTTTTGTGAGGGAGTTCTATTGAAGAACTATAGTAACCTTCTAAATATGTAGCATTAGATGCCATTAGTGGAATAAATCATTCAAATATGACAAAAACTGAATAGCCAACAATATTGATATACATTGAGGTCTCACAGGTGCTTGCAGTGCCAGTTATATTTTCTAATAGATTAGATAAGATTCATGTGAATCATATTCTGGGCCTGTTCCCAGGAAATTATATATTTTGATAGCAAATTAATCAATATGTGTCCTTGTCTGCATAAAGAGGAAACAGCATCTGTGACCACAACCAAAGAATCTCTTAAGAAATGAATTTGAATGTCTTGGAATTCTTTAAAAAATTTTTTTGAATATGCCCAGTACTTTCCAACATAAAGAAAATGAGAAAAATTACAATTTAGGTATTAAAATGATAAAAGCTTGATATAGTTTTAAATAACCACAAAAGGTGCTTGATTTCTATACTTTCTTAAATGGCACTAACTAATGTCTCATCCTAAGAAATTTGCTGGCTAAGTTACAAAACAAATCAGTCATCAGAATAAAAACATGACATAAACCAATGTAAAGTCCTGAGAAAGTCTCAAAACTAATCCAAAAATACAAACTTTTTTGATACATCCATTTTCAAGAATTTAATGATCTTAAGTCATCCAAAACCAATGGGGTATTTTCTTATCAGAATTAGAAACTGAAGGGATACATTCTTTATCTAGAAAATTATTTCTATATTTTCATTTTTTCCCTTTTATATTTGCCCTTGGGACCTCTGTTGCAATTTTCTCATGTCAAATAAAATAAAATCTTCATAATTGCAGTAAAGGAGAAAAGATAATTCTGTAGAGGGAAATTATTCTAGGCAGAAGGACTAAAATTGCCCGTCTTAATTAGTGTTGTGTTTCTATTGGGTAAAAGAACTGCTGTTTGAGAACTAAGAGTATATTTTCAGTTCTCAGGAGACCGAAAATATGCTTGGTGGGAGGGAGGACAAGGAAAGAAATGAAATAAATTATTGGTTTTCAGCTTGAATTGCTATGTAGGTTATAAGAAAAGAATTAATTGTAATAAGGACCATTTGCTTACTAATGGCTATGAAATTGCATTTAGTCCTAACTACATGTAAAACTCACTTGAAAAAAGTGTGCAGGGATACTCTTTGACCTGGACACACCATGAAGGTCTGATGCTTCAAACTGTACAAACTGGAGGTGATTTTTGGCCATCTCTTGTTTAATGTGCTTCATTCTAGAAGAGAGTTGAGGTGGGGTCAGAATTTGAGTGCTATCCCTGGTACAATCTGTAAAATAAAGAATGGTTTCAAGTCACTCTACAATAATGAACTGAGAAGTAAAAGGAGACTGGAGAGCAGTGAATTGGTCATTGTGATTACTAACAAAAGCATCATATAATCCTCATGTCATTGACTCAGAGTTAGAGATCTTACCTTTCTTATTTTGCCTTTATCATCTTCCAAAGAGCATTGTATCCAAACAATCAAGAGGTTGTTTATTAGAACTAGGTTACAAGTAATAATATCTTCATGGATGTATAGCAAAATCATATGTAGGTACTTGTAGAAAATCTTTTTGTTTATTAAAATTAGAATATACTTGCATAACTGGACAGCATTGGCACCACAACAGTCTACAAAGATGACTACCACTGTAAAGATTTCAGGCTTCTTGACTTAACGCAATACCTAAGTTAACAGTTTCTGTATGATTTTAGGTAAAAAATACTTGCTTCTGTTTATTTTTCTTGTTCTGTTTTTGATTTGTGTGTTTTTGTTTTTACAAAAAGGGCATTTTAGTTTTATAATGGTATCAGTATCTAAGAAATCATCTAACAAACTTAAAATTCATTTTGGTAAGCAAACAAAAGCATTTTCTAAGAATGAGAATGTAGAAGATGAAAAATCTGGACTGTATATCCACTCTTAAGGTTATAGACAAAGAAAACTGTTCTTTTCAAGACTTTTAAGATAGTCTGAAGATTCTAAAACTTTAGAGCTAGAAGAGACATTGTAGATAAATCATCTAATATGAGCAACTCATTAACTTGTGTCCTGGAGAGATGCAATGAGGTACTCTAAATCATACTATCAATTCATAGCCAGAATTGAAACTAGAATTGAGACTTCCTGACTCCTGGTGTGTGATCATTACCACAAAATGAATAAATGTATCTACAGCACATAGTGTATATGACAGTTGTCCTCATTCTCAGTTCCACCTTCTGAGGTTTCAGTTGTCCTTGCTCAACTGAGTTCTGAAATATTAAATCAAAAACTCTATAAATTAACAATTTCTAAGTTTTAAATTGCATGCTATTATGAGTGGCATGATGAAACTGTCTGCCTTCCCAGTCCATCCTGCCCAAGGATATGAATCATCACTGTGTCCAGCATAGCCACACCTTATGTGCATCCCATCCATTACTAGCTTATGGTAGCTGTCTCAGTGTTCAGACTGACTGTTGTGGTATCACAGTTCTTGTGTTCAAGTGACCCTTACCTTACTTAATAATGATCCCAAAGCACACGAATCGTAGCTCTGGTAATATTGTCACAGTATATTGTTATAGTTGTTCTACTTTTATTATTTACTATTGTCAATCTATTACTATGCCTGATTCACAAATTAGCCTCTACAGTAGGTACTTGTAAATAGAAAAAAATAAAGTATTAGGATAAAAACTTGTGGAAAATGGAATTCCAACTCAGGGGGCTTCCATAGCCTTGGCAGCTCATGACAAGAGCCTAGGGTGATTACTGAGGCCATAAACAAGAGTGTCAATTTGTTAAGTCAACAACAGGAGTCACTGTGCACTTACTCCTCATGTAGGATCTTTGTCCTTAGTGTGCTGTATATTGAGATTTAATGCTATAACTAGCACTCAAACAGTATTTTTCACTTTATGTTTCTGTGTGGGAGCAAATGTTGAAATCTTTACTTAATGTATGCTAAATTGATCTTCTGTATATAAAGAGAATTGAAAATGAATCTTGATATGAATGGAAGGGGAGAGGGAGTGGATAAGGGGAGGGTTGCGGGTTGGAGGGACGTTATGGGGGGGAAGCCATTGTAATCCATAAGCTGTACTTTGGAAATTTATATTCATTAAATAAAAGTTAAAATAAAAAAAAAGAAAATGGAATTCCAAGATAAGTCTTCCGTGGTGAAAAAAATTGATATCCATGCAATTTTTCAAAGTATGTATTTTCTATAACTTTTTGGAGACCCTTTAAATATATGATTTAATTTACTTTGCACCAGAGTAAATTTATCTTTTTCTTTCACTTTTCCAGGAGCTCTCTGATGTTCCCTCAAATTTGTACATCATATGGAGCTCAATACGCTCCATCATTTCAGCATTCACTGGAGACACTGTATAAATGTTAGTTACTGTCAGGACTTTCAGAAGCAACAGAGTGCAGTGGTTCAGCACACAATACTGAAGTGCAGGGCCAGCACTGTAGCTTAGCTGGTTAAGACACTGCCTGCAGCGCCAGAATCCCACATGGCAGCAGGTTCGAGTCCTGGCTCCTTACTTCAGAATCCCGCACTCTGCTAATGCAGCAGAAACCGGCCGAAGTGCTTGGGTAGACTCAGAGGAAGCTCCTGGCTCCAGGATTCAGTCTGGCCCCCTCCATTGCAGCCATCTGGGGACACCTGGGGAGTGAACCAGCAGATGTCTCTCCCTCTCGGTGTGTAACTCCGCCTTTCAAATAAATAAGTCTTTTAAAAACACTGAAGTTTATCTGCCTCTTCTCGAATCCTAGTTTGCCCTAGAAACCTTGTTCTTTCTGTGTTCTGCTTCCTCACTGATAAAATATTACCTACTTCATGGGCTTGTTATGAGGATTAAACAAGTTGTTTAATAGTTACTGGCAGGCAGTAAATGACAAAAAAGTGCTACTTAACAGCATAAGGGCAGTACAATTATTCTAACCCTAGTAAACCATACCGTGATCATGTCTGCATTCAAACACCCATCAATCAATCACATTGCTGATGTTTAACAGTCGTAATTTTAAAGCAATATTTGACTATCCTTTTAATAATTAGGTTTTAAAATTGTGTAAAGATTGACAGTTTAAATACATAGATTAAGTAGATATTGATTCTGTAAAGCTTGAGGAAAACAAATTCCGGGTTCCACCTATGCACATATCTTAGAGATAATGTCCTGTCACCAAGAGGTTTGGCCACTCTGACACACCTAAGGCTTTATAACTACCTTCCATTTAATACAATTAAGCTGTAGCAATTACAATGCTATATGCTAAATTAGCAGTTGCTGTGTTCCCAACCTATTCTGAAATGTTGGGTGCTTGGCCCACATTGAATAATGTACTTTAAATTCAATAAAATTTATAGACATTCTAAAACATGGCAATTTTCACATAACTAGTATTCTAAATAAAATAAGCAGTTTTATACAAAGTATAAAGAACACATTTCCTATAAAAGGAAAGTTCACTGGTATTAGGATGACAGCTAATCTTACTGATTTTTTGCTTTATGTATAGCTTCTAAATTCCCTGTAATAAATATATATTATTCAAAAATAAGAAAAATATTCATCTACTCACAATAGGTATTTTTTAATCACCACCTGCTATTTCATACTATTTTCTAGGAAGGAAACCAAAAAAGCTCTGCCCTCATAGAATTTTATACTATTAAGTGGGAGAACTATGGATAGCAAACACATCCTCAAATGCAAAGGGTTGCAGGGGAAGTGCTGAGAAAGAAAGCCCCTAATCATCTGGAGTAGCATTTATGTGAGAAGTGATCACAATGTGGACACACCCAACTCCTGATTCATTTGAACATCTCCAAGTTCCACTGTAGCTGAACAGTGGGTATGCACATTAATTTACCCTGGCTTCTATAACAAATACCCCTAATCAGTTCTGGAGGCTAGAAGTCCAAGTTCAAAGGTATCAGCAGTGTTTCATCTAAGCCTCTCTCCCACTGGCTTGTAGATAGCTGCTCTGTTCAATATCATCACACCCTGTTTTCTCTGTGCATGTCTGTGTCTTAATCTCTTCTTTTGAGGACATCGGTCATCCTGGATTAGGGACCTATTCTACTGACATCATTTAACACTAGGTTCTTCTTCAAAGACCATGTCTCCCAATTCCATCAAATTCTGAGGTGAGGTTTTGGGGAATAGGACTTCAATTTAAGAATGCTGAAAAGACATAACTCAGTCAGTAACAGTCTACTATGCTGTGGCCATTTCTTCACAGTCTTTATGGCCAACTGCCTGCCATACTGTGTCGTTACATGCTTCGTATGCCTTCCCACTGACATATCAGCTCCATGACATCAGGGGCTTAGTTCCACCTGCTGCCGCAATATTCTCAGAACCTGTAACAGTGTAGGGAAAGGGTAGGTAATCAATAAATATGTGAGTGTAGAAGTGAATGGATGAATCGCTGAATGAATTAGCACATCCTTGTGTTGATTTGACCTTGTCTAATTAATAAGCAAAAGTTAGCATCATATATTTTAGTGTGTATCCTAAGTATCATTTTTTCATTCAAAAATTCAATTATTTCACCAAATATGAGAACCCCTCCCAATCTAATTTTATTTTCGAGGCATCAACTAATCTTGTTGCATCACTGTTTGAATTTCTTTTCTTCAAATAAATCATCCTTGTTACTTACAATTAAACCTTTTGGCCAGCCTTTCCCAACTGCACATGATGAATAGCAGGCAGATAATTGCCAGTTCAGGGGCCCATTTGTTTCTCTTACAGTGTGATTCCTTGGAGGTGTTCTTTCCTATCTCCTCAGAGGACTAATAAATTAAATCAATTGTGCTTTTATAGGGGGAGTTTTACTGCTGTGAGTGTTTGGGGAAAAAATAAGAAAACATTAGGAAAAAACCTAAAAGCTCTATAGCAACTAGAAGGCCTTAAAGAAATGTTGTCTGTGTTCAATGACAATGAAGACATATTTCAGTTACAGAAAACAAGCCATGGTCACTTATAAAAGGTAGAATGAGTAGGCAGTTGGGCTTTCAGAAATACCAATGCAAAAAAAAAAAAAAAAAAGAAAGAAAGAAAAGAAAAGTGCATTTGAGAGTGCATTCTGTAACACACTCAGCTTACTACACACCTGGGATGACTGGCCACATTCCAATCGTCCTTCATCCACTGGCTGTAGTGAGAGCCACCCTGCTAGCACAAATGTGACCCCACCCAGCTACAAAAGCAGGGACAAAAGGAAAAACAATTAAAAAGGCACTTTTCTTTGGAGCAAAAAAAAAAGTCATTTTTGGAAAAACTCAGAGTAGTCACTACAAAGGAAAAATCCTATTTCAAACTTTCTTGCACTTAGGTTGAATTTTATAATTATTTTTAAATTACATATTGATGGTTTGCTCATGGTTGTAAACCTTTTGGAAATTAGGATCTCTGAGGAATTTAATCCAGCCTGGGTCAAAGACAGAGTTTCTGAACTCACCAAATTGAGTCAATAATGGAACTCAAGCCCATAGTCATGACTAACGATGCAAAGAGAGCTCATGACTTATGTGCTTTCACCAGATTTTTTTATTGAAAATTAAGGGATGGTAAATTTGATCTCTGTTTTGTGACTAAAACCAGAATGTATAAAACAAAGGTCACAAACTTTTCATGGAAGATAGCAGGTATTTTCTGATTAGTCTTTCCAGAGCTGACAACACTTAACCATTTCAAAGTTTCAGACAAAAATCCTACTTCAAGTTTCTTTTGAACATAAATCTGGCAATGCTGTGACAACTTCCCCAAAGCAATCATTGACTGGAGTTGGAAAATAACATCTTCTAGTTCATGATACAGCACACATTTTCTGTACAGGGCCAGAAAGCAAATATTTGCAACTTTGAGGGCTTCATGGTATCTGTTGCAACTCTTCAACTATGTCATTTTAGCACCAAAAAGGCCATAAACAATATATAAACTTTATTTACAAAAAAAAATCAAACTGGCTGTCTGCAAGCTGAATTTGGCCCTTGGGCCACAGTTTATTGGTCTCTGCTCCAGTTGCTCATGACCTGCATGACTGCCTGTTTTCTTCCAGCAGCCCACTTCTCACACTAGTATTACCTGCCTGGCCCCTGCAACATTTGTATCAACAGTTTTCAATGTTTATAGGCTGTCAGCATTAATTTTATTCACGTCATAGAGAAATTCATGAAACCAAAGTGCAGAGAAATTCAGAGATGAGAAACGATGAGGTAGGCAGAATGATCCCTTAAGGATATTCATCCCACCTTAATCCCTAAAATATGCTAAATTGCATGCCAAAGAGGACTGAGGATGTAATTAAGGTAATGGATCTGAAAACAGGGAGATTATCTTGCATTATCCAGATGAGCCCTTAAAAATACAGAACTCTCTCCAGCTAGCAATAGAAAAGAGAAGAGGAAGAAAGGGAATTCAGAAAGATTACAAATATAAGAAAATCTTGAGGCATTGCTGTTGTCTAAAATATAGAAGCAGAGAGAGACTTTTGGGAGCCAAAGAGGTTCGCAGTCGACAGCCAACAGGGGAACAACAGCTTCAGTCCTACAAATCAAAATGGGTCAGATTCTTTCACCTTGGTGAGTGAACATGAAAGTGTACTGTTTCTGAGAGTCTCCAGATAAGAGCCCAGATGGCTAACACCATGGATTCACCCTTGTGAAACCTGAGATAAGCCAGCTGAGTCAACCCAGATTTCTGACATGCAGAACTGTAGAATAACAGATTTGTGGTTTTGTTTAGATGTGAAGTTTATGATAATTTGTTATAGTGGCAATAGAAGACTTATACAGATGGAGTCCCATTAGTATTCAATTTCTAGGTTCCAGTTCCCCCAGAAGTCTTTTCTGTAAGAAAAAATTAACTCTGTCCAAAGAAAAGTCTGGTATCTGCCCTTTGCCCCTGGGAAGTCATCTCTATACCCCTGGAAAGTCCTGCCTGACAAGAGTGTCTGTGTTTGCCTGGGGGCTCCAGGCCAGGCCAGAAAGTCTGATAATGTCAAGTGGGAACTTTGAGTCATGGGGTATAAGCTTGATCCTCAGTGAGACAAGAGACTGAGGTCAGCCACATGGCCAGTTAGCCATGGCAACCCAAACCCATCTCTGGACACCAAGACTCAGGTGAGCTTCCCAGGAGTGTACTAGCACATGTCATTCCCAATAGAATGCTGCTGTCCAGGACTAGGACTTCACAGGGAAAAGAGTTAACAGATACACTCTGTTTGGTATTTTCCTGGACTTTGCACCAAGATTGATTTTAATCCGAATCCTTTCATTGACTAATCCATAATTTAGATTATAACAGCTGTCAGTGAGTTCTGTGTATTCTGTAAGTCCTTCCATCAAAGCATCATAACTAAGGTAATTCTGGGGAACTCCAAAATGTGCAGTTGGTCGCAGAAGTGAGGATAACATGGTGTACACTGTCTCTAACTTCACACACTGCTTTTTTTCTTGGCTTTCCAAACTTTGTTCCACCATTTCATTGTAGACTCCCTCATGGAATACACATTGCTTTTTAACTAGTGTATATCAATTGAATCCAAGAGAGTTTTAAACAATACATTTATGTGCCAAAATATTTATATCAGGGCCAGCATAGTGGCATAGCATGTAAAGCTACTGCCTATGATGCCAGTATCCAATACAGGTGCTGGTTCTTGTCCTGGTTGCTCCACTTCCAATACATCTCCCTGCTAAAGGTCTGAGAAAAGCAGAAGATTGTCCAAGTGCCTGGACTCCTGTCACCCATGCAGAAGACCCAGATGAAGTTCCTGGCTTCAACCTGGCCCAGCCCTAACCATTGAAGTCATCTGGGGAGTAAACCAGCAGATGAAAGATATCTGGGCCGGCGCCGTGGCTCAATAGGCTAATCCTCCGCCTTGTGGTGCCAGCAAACTGGGTTCTAGTCCCGGTCAGGGCACCGGATTCTGTCCCGGTTGCCCCTCTTCCAGGCCAGCTCTCTGCTGTGGCCCAGGAGTGCAGTGGAGGATGGCCCAAGTCCTTGGGCCCTGCACCCGTATGGGAGACCAGGATAAGTACCCGGCTCCTGGCTTCGGATCAGCGCGATGCGCCGGCCGCAGCGCGCCAGCCGCGGTGGCAGCCATTGGAGGGTGAACCAACGGCAAAAAGGAAGACCTTTCTCTCTGTCTCTCTTTCTCACAGTCCACTCTGCCTGTCAAAAATAAAAAAAGAAAGATATCTAATTATCTTTCCCTCTCTCTGTGTGTAATTTTCCATTTTAAATAAATAAATATATCTTTTTCAAAAAAGCTATGTCACTATCCATATGCCAGAAATTAAAAAATAACAAAATTCTACTTTTAGAGAAGACTTGAGAGATCTTCCATTATATCCCCTGGATTTTCCAGATGAGTAGTCCATTGGGTAAAGAAAACTGCAAAGCACTATAAATTCAGGTGAACAAATTCTTCCAAGTATTCTGACTTCTAGACAAGCATTTCTCAACCAATATTACACTACCTCTAATGCAAATGCGAAATTCAGATTGATGCCTACAAGCACATGTGAGTTTCTGCTGGAATGCATACCAGTAAATTCTTACCAGAATTTGTGTTATGTTCACCACTAGGAACACTGGCTGTTTGGGGAGGCAATGGTTTCATCACCATTGTCTGATCCGGGGAGTCCTTATCATCCTGCGAAACACGAGTCTCAGAAGAACTAGGTCCTGCGACTGGTTTACTCGTATCCCCCAATTGGTGACACAGCATTTGGCTTCTGATTCGCTCTGTAATAATAAAGGAAAATGTTAAAGCATGACATCCTTGTTGTCAACTCTTTCAATACTATATGGAGAGGAATACTTGAGAAAATAGTGACTTCCTAGCCAATGACACACCAAGTGAAGGTTGGTGGAAGTGGTTGGCACTAGTTATGCCATAGGAGAATGTGTTGTCCACACAGAATTTAAAAACAACAGTAAAATCAATAAAAAGTAGATTTATTCCTTATGGCCTCTTTGGCAATTTTTACGGCCCCTGCCTCAGACTACCAACAGTTCCTAGAACTAAATCTGCAGTTGTTCATATCAACTCCCAGTTTCAATTCTGTTTCAGATCTATTGGAGTCCTGATGGACTTCCAACATGTACGTAAACTTGTTCCACATCTTTTTCATGCCTTCTCAAATCCTAATGATGATCTTCATATTCATTCTCATAAATTTATGTTTTGTTCTTTTTTTCTCTGATATTATCATCCACATTTTAACCTTTACATTCTGAATATTTTGACTGATCATTTTATACATTAATATTTCAAGCTTACAGTTGCCATCTTTTATGTCATCTATGTAAAAATAAACTTCATTTCTTTGTCCTTTCACTTCTCCCAAGGATGAAAATAAAATGTTTCATGAAAAGGAATACCCAGTGGAAATTGTCATTAGCCACATCATTTTCTAGGGATCAAAGTTAAATATCGTTTGGGGGGCCGGCACTGTGGCATAGTGGGTTAAGCCGCCACCTGCAGTGCCAGCATCCCATATGGGCGCTGGTTCAAGACCTGGCTGTTCCACTTCTGATCCAGCTCTCTGCTAAGGCCTGGGAAGGCAGTAGAGAATGGCCCAAGTCCTTGGGCCTCTGCACCAGTATGAGACACCCGGAGGAGGCTCCTAGCTCCTGGGTTTGGAGCGGTTCAGCTCCAGCCATTGCGGACAAATGGGGAGTAAACCAGTGGATGGAAGACCTCTCTCTCTCTCTCCGCCTCTCCTTCTCTCTGTGTAACTCTGACTTTCAAATAAAACAAATAAATCTTTTAAAAAATACCATTTGAATTGGATATATCCATTTCTCCCACTTCAGTTGAATAATCATGTGGCTTAGTGACTTTCTTTCTTGTCTTTCTTAATTTACTCATTCTACTGGCTTCAGTCTCATTAACTTCATCTCTTGCTGTATCCTGTAATAGTTAATAAAAAAGTCAAATAACAAATCATGCAAACAATCAAATTTGGAAGTCAAAAAGGACATCCTACATTTGAATAGCTGGATTTTAAAATGAGCATGGGAGACATTTTATAACCAGGCAAATGTTATCACTTCCACATCTGCTTGAGTAACTCAAAGTTTAAAAAGTTCAACATTGTGCTAACAGGTTGGATTTTCTGTATCTCCTTATTTGTAGTACAGAAACTATCTTTAAATACATTAATATCTTCTCAAACTCAAGATTTCTACCTTTATTTCTTATTTTGGTGTATTTTATATTTTTATTTCTAAATAATTTCACAGGCCATTTCAGCAAAAGTCTGATTTTTATAATTTCCTTGTTTTTGAAAGTCACTAATATTTTTTACCAAAGGTATGCGCAACCTGAATAGTTGAAATTTTTCTCTTATCTCTTTCTATCTTACCTCCTTCAACCTTATTGCATCAATATTAATTGCACTTTACAAAAGTACTTGCATTCATAAAATGCTGTTGTGTGACTGTCATATGTGCAAAGCAAAAGTCATGCTCAAACTATTTACAGTTTGGGAAAATCTAAAGGGACATATTTAAAATAAAAAAGGTAACATTAACAATCCTGTTTCAGTCACTGACAACATATTTTCAGCAGGAGATCAGGCAATGAGGCAGGGGTTGATGGGGGAACCCGGATGTCTCAGCATTAACAGTAGACAGAATCAGCCCTGCAGTTTCTGGACACAGGGTGTCACTGAACACAGTTTTAAATTGTTTAAAGCAGAAACTGGTATTCTTAACGCTTTTTACAAACCACTCATTGTGGTTTGATTGGAAAGTGAAAGGGCCAGGATGGAAACTATATCCTAAATGTTTTGATCTGTTGTCCTTTTGAAGAGAAAGTTCAGAGAGGTTCCATATCCAGGGGCAAGTTCTATATAGATCCAAGTTTCTGGGGAACAGCTATACCAATATATTGATAAAACCAGGTCATGGAACTGACATTATGGTCCAGCAGGTTAAGCCATTGCCTGTGATGCTGGCATCCCCTATGAATGCAGGTTCTAGTTTGACAGCTCCACTTTTGATCCAGCTCCCTGCTAATGCACGTGGAAAGACAGCAGATGATGGCCCTAGTACTTGGGCCTCTGCCACCCACATGGGAGATGCAGATGGAGCTCCAGGCTCCTGGCTTCAGTCTGGCTGAGCCCTAGACTTTGCAAACCTTTAGGAGTAAACCAGTAGATGGAAGATCTCTTTCTTTCTGTCTCTCCCTCCCTCCCTCTCCATCACCCTGCCTTTCAAATAAATAAATAATATTTTTTTTAAAAAATCAACCTTTAAAAATAAAAAGTTTAAAAAGGATTTTCATTTTTTGTTTCTATATAGTAATGATGCATCATTATTATTGTTATCATATTTACAAACTTATTTCATAGAATAAGGTCATTGAGGAGGGGGAGGAGCAGTGAAGGCTTGGCACACCTGTTAAGTTGCCTCTTGGGCCATCAGCATCCCGTAACAGAGTGCCTGGCTTCAAGTTCCAGCTCTACTTTTGACTCCAGCTTCCTGAAAATGCACTCTCTGGGAGGCAGCAGATGATGGCTCAAGGAGTTGACAACTTATCACCCACATGGGAAACCCAGGATGGGTTTCTGGCTCCCACCCCAACCCTGCCTACTGCAGATATTTGGGGAATCAACCAGTAGATGAAAGATTTCTCTCTTTCCTTTTAAAATAAATAAAATAAATAGACAAATAATAAGTTTAAATCTTTTTGCTAATTTAAACCTTCACTTATGAGATTAAGTAGCCTCTTTCACTCCTGATAATCTTAAAATTGGATCATACAGTAGCTATATAATAATTTATTTTCTAGAAGCTTAGGACTTTACTCAAGCATATGTATAAATTTTCCCAATAAAATTCTGACAAGATCTGATAGTGACAAAGTCTCAGTGTACATAATCATCTTTCTAAAGCTGCATTGCCAAAAATATACATTACATAATTTTATTTGTGTTAAACTTTTTTATATATTCCCCTCTCTGATCTTTAAAAGAAGTCTTGTTAAGAAAATAAAATTGTTCGTCTGGTATATAAATATCAAAACAGCCTGAGGAGACTAACATTTTGGTTTAGAGTACTTTACCAGGATGATCCTCATGTACAGACTGAAGGTATCAGATGAGATAAACTTTAAGCTTCCTTCCAGCATCAAACTCTAACATTAAATAAATAATTTAATGACAGTGTGAGCACATTTTCAGGCACATTTTCTTAGCATACTCCTTAAAGATAATAGAATCTCCACTTATAAGTGAGAAAAACAAGACCTGAGTAACTTGCCCAAGACCACAACAGCAAATGAAAGTTACAGGTCTCCGATTTCCAAAACTCCACTCTGCTTTCTAAAACCCAGAGACCCAAGCCCAAAGATAGTTTGTTTAAAAAACATTCATCCTGCCTGCTGTAGGCATTTGGGAATGAACCAGCACTACTGATCAGCAAGAGATGAAAAACATTTTTCTTTCTCTTTCTCTCTCTCTCATAGATGAAAATAATTAAATAAACATTTTTAAAAACCTACACCTCCCTCATATAAGCCAGACCAAAAGGAAAAGTTTCTTAAGAAAAGAACAATTAGTCTAGTTACTAACATGAGAATTTCCCCAATGAGGACCCAAAACAAAACAGCAGTGTGTGACTCTTACTCCATAACAATTTCAGAAAATAAGGCTTCATCTGTCTAAAGTGAGGATTTACTCTATTAGAATAAGAAGAAATCAAAAACATAAAAATAAAAGAATCATGATTCACAAAAAATCCTACAACTGAATACAAGAAATATAATGTCTTTATGGTAGTTAAGGGCTTCCATGCTATGAAGAAAATGGTATGTTTAGGGTTGCCCTAGTTCAGGAATAGCAAATGCAAATGCTAGGCAGACAGATGAAAGAATTATACCGTGGGTTGGATAGTAAACACAAGAGTTGATAGTGCTACCCAGGAAGAAACCAACATTTGCCAATTACACAAAATTTCCAAGGAATACTGAAAATCTGGATCTTTTTTCAAATTTCATGATATTTAAATATTGCCAATTGATTTCAAATATTAGATGCGGCAACTAGTTCTCAAAATGAGTGGGATGCTGTTCATTATATGCAAACTCCAGACAGCCCTGAGCACAACTGAGTCAGCAGTGACCATCTGCCTTCTCCCAGCTTTGCTGTCTAATGTGATACAGAAGGATAATAGTCCAAATATTCAACCACTAATAAGGCTTAAAAATTAATAAAAAGCAAGCATTTTTATTATATCAACCACACACCAGTTTTCTTTTAAATACTTCACACATATTAATTCATGAAACAATCCCTCAAAATGAATGCATTGTCATGCCTGTGTTTAAGATGAGGAAAACTGAGTAAAGAAGAAACTAATTAACCAGCCCCAAATCACACAGCTTCTAAGTAATGGAGCTAGGATGTGCACCAGCTACTCACTTATCCTTAATAAACATTGTCAGAATACTCCCTCATCACTGCTGGGGTGCTGGGGAGCTGGGGCAGGTGTTAGCTTTGTAACTCTTTAGTTGGTTGTGGAGAGGTCTGACAGCCTCAGGAGAACAGTAGGACAGCTAGTGATGCATGAAGGGTGGAAGGGAACCATTAAGAAGCTGTTGGACCTGTTTACCAATAAACGGAGACACATTTCACCATTTATCAAGCAGTTCTACCTTGTTGCACTATTATGTTGGTCAGGCATTGCCTGGTGCATAGTAAAGACTGAGCAGATGTAAGCCATGATTGTTGTTACACAGGCACCAGGCAGTATAACTAGCAACTCTGTTGGAAAGATGCCTCATTCTAGGTTATACCATAGGGCCTGACGATCCAAGAGAGGGCTCCCATACGGTAAGGCTCTAATCCCTTATCTGAGCACCTCTAGATTCTGAACACCATAAATTAGGGAAACTTCTCAAAGCAACAAGGGTTTTTAGGATTCTCAGAGGGAGCAATGTGGCCAACACACTCTTGGAATCTACAGTACTGCTATCATTAAACAAACAGGATATTTTTAAACAGAGTCTTTTATAGACAGGGAAACAAGGCCAAGCTTAACCAGAGGAGGAGGCATTTCAGTAGAAGATAGAGATAAAACTAGGTTGGAAGAACTATGAATGCAAGCACAGAAACACAATTTCATTTCATTTCATTGCATGGCATAAATATGCAAATCTAATTAATCTTAATTTTATAGCTGTCAATATTCTACTAAAACAGGTTGAAAATTCTAGTCTCCAAAGAAGGAGGTACCTTTCTCTGAAGGGAGGAGAGAACTTCCACTTTCACCATGGCCTTGTCTAAAAATTATCAGAGTCAGTGAACTCAGGGGGCTTCCATAGCCTTGGCAGCTCATGACAAGAGCCTAGGGTGATTACTGATGCCATAAACAAGAGTGTCAATTTGTTAAGTCAACAACAGGAGTCACTGTGCACTTACTCCTCATGTAGGATCTTTGTCCTTAGTGTGCTGTACATTGAGACTTAATGCTATAACCAGTACTCAAACAGTATTTTTCACTTTATATTTCTGTGTGGGAGCACACTGTTGAAATCTTTACTTAATGTATGCTAAACTGATCTTCTGTATATAAAGAGAATCGAAAATGAATCTTGATGTGAATGGAAGGGGAGAGGGAGTGGGAAAGGGGAGGGTGGCAGGTGGGAGGGACATTATGGGGGGGAAGCCATTGTAATCCATGAGCTGTACTTTGGAAATTTATATTCATTAAATTAAAGTTTGAAAGCAAAAAAAAAAAGAAAAATTTATACACATATGTACTAGAAACAATATTTAATAGTTGCTTTTATAAGTGTGACTTTGGCTTTAGCATCACTTCAGAGGAAATTTAAATGGCCAACAGACACATGAAAAAATGTTCAAGATCACTAGCAATCAGGGAAATGCAAATCAAAACCACAATGAG